CTTGAAGTAATTTTATATGCAGAAACTACCTTGAATCGTAAGGCTTCTCTATACTATAAAGTTGACCAAAAGCGTGTTCAAGAGTGGTGCAAGCAGAAACAAGAGTTTGAAAATATTAGAAATAATAAAGATTCGAATATAACACAAGTGCGGATTCTTGAAGGTTGCAGTCGTAAGGTGCCGTACTCTATGTTAGAAAAGGAATTGATAGAGTTTGTTAAAAAGAGGAGGGAGGAAAAAAGAAACAGTAACAACATTGATGATTATCAAAAAAGCCAGAAGTTTAAATGAAACCATGGATATTAGGAATATGAAATTTTTCTGTGGTTGGGCCAAACGGTTTAAACAACAAAATAAGTTAATAAAACGTGCTCGAACACAATTAGCTCAGAAAATCTCTGAGGATATGCCTGTGGTTGTCAAAAATTTTCTTAAAATATCATGTGAAAAAATGCATAGCATTGAAAAAAAATATATTTTATCATTTGATGAGACTCCTATGTGGTTCGATATGCCACGGGATTTGACAATCGATTTCAAAAGTATTTATGAAGTGCCAGTCAAGACCACTAGCAATAAAAAATTATGATTTACTGTAGTTTTAGATTACATGGTAGCCGGGGAGATACTCCCACTTTTAGTAATCTTCAAGTTAAAAAAAAAGCCAAAAAGCAGATTCCCACGAGACATTGTAGTAGCACTAGCACCATCCGCATACATGACTAGAAATTTGATGATTTCTACATATATTCCCTGAATCATTAGAGCTAGACCGAATAGATTTTTTAAAAACAAAGGAATAATTTTTTGTAGATGCATATCATAGCCATAATTATGTTAATATAACTAGAGCATTAAAGGCAGATATGTTAGAAATACCCGGGAGGTACCATCAGTGTTTTACAACTGCCAGATATCTCTATTAACAGGTCTTTTAAAAACGGTATTAGTAAAAAATTTTATTAAATTGGTGAAAAAAATGTTAAACCTTTTTTTTTTTTTTTTTTTTATACTATCCCTAGGTATAAGAAGTAAATGGGAAGAATAGATGAATAAAGGGAAAAAAAATATATACCAAGAAAGGAAATTGAAAAAAGGCATCGTATGAGCTTGTGTGCGAATGGGTGTCCGAGACATAGAAAGAGATTAGCCCAAATCTTTTAATTAAATCTTTTGAAGCTGCTGGGCTCATACTTAATCCAGATAGTAATAAAGACAATAAGATGTCGGGCTGCCTCAAGGCTATTATTAAAAATCGGTTGAATGAACTGTCAATTGAAAATACACAAACAGAAAATTCAAATGATAATAATGGTAGGGTTGCAATTTATTGTGATTTTATGTAATTTTGTAAAATTTTTCGCAAGTTTTCAGTAACAGTTTTCATGTAATTTGTATCATATGCTTATATGATTAGTTGAATCATATATACATCAATTTGATCAGTGCAGAATCTACTGTAGTTCAACAATGCTAGCTGTGTTTTTCATAATGTATCATATGTGAAATTTATATGAATCCACGTTACTGAAGCTTACGTGAAATTATATATATTGTAAGTTTGTAAAATGTAATTTTCAACTCTAGATAATGGTGAGCCGTATGATAATGAACTATATTATGATAAGCCATATTATGATAAGCCAAATAGTGATGAAATTGATGGTGATGAAATGGATTATGAGCCGGATAGTGGTGAAATAGATTATAAACCGAATGATAGCGAATTAGAATATTTGGACAAAAATATTATGGACGTAGATGGCTATGATATTATAGACATAGATAGTTATGAAGAAACACAGGCAATCGAAATTGATTAATAATACAGTAATAGTATTTGATCAATTGATGAATAAATTTTTTGAATAACATTTACACTTAGATTCAAAAAATACTATAAATGCTTATTGCCATTTTTTTTTATACCTCGTTATTTTTAAATCTAAATAATTCATATAGGTAAGCAATTAACTACTGTATTTGTTCTCTTTTGCATGTTTAACTAACAAAGCAACTACTTTAATTATAGTGACCTATGTTTTCATAATTTCTTATTATATTAAGTCTAATTAGCATATTTAATATATTACAAAACAAATATTAGAATGTGTTAGATTAGGCAATGCATCAGTGGTCAGTTGGAATATTTTAAACCAATTAAAGGTCTAACTCTTACTGGACATACTGCGCATTAGTGGGTCTTTAAATTATTAATTTTAATTTATATAAAAACTTTATAGAGTATGATGAAAAAATATGAAGAATCGCTTGCAGGCTTTATAGGGTATGATAAAAAAATATAAAGAATCACTTACAGACTTTATAGGGTATAATGAGAGAATACGAAGAATCATTTGATACTCTAATAGATAAAGGTATGTTATTATATTCTAATATTTTAACGTTTTAACAATATAACTTAAATTATTTATTTGAAATTTTTAAATTCAAAATTTATCCAAATAGTATAAATATTTTATGTTAAAATTCGCAGGATAATTTTCTGTCAAACTAAATCTATCAGAAGTAAAATTGGGGTAGAAAAAGATAAACATACCATAAAGTATATCATATTTGTCAAAAAAAAATTAAGTTGATTAAAAAGATGTATTATAAGCTTATGTATTCCAAAAAACCCAAAACTTAGGCTTATATATTATATATAATACATGACAGCTTTTATTTGTTTAATATCAAAAATAAATTAAATAATTTAATTTAATTATCATACACATCTTTCATTATATACTGTAAAATTATAATCCTTTTATCAAACAATAAAGTCACAATATATAGTAAGCTATCTTAGATTTAGACTACAAGCAAATTATATAGAACCTATAAAAAAGTAATCATATAAGCTTCTTATTGCATTTTTGAACAATGCTAAAAACAATTTCTGACTTATTTCAAGATTCACAAGATTACTTACCAAACGGTTTCTTCATAACAAATAAGACTTCGTATCAGGGTTGTTAATGAAGTACTTCAGATTATAATAAAACATATAACCTTTTCTCAAGTGCTCTGGAGTAGAATATGTTTTATTATATCCTGGAGTACTCTATTAACAACCCTACTTAGTATGTTTGCAATCTATTTTAATGTAATATTATTATTGAAGTTATTACTCTTTTAGGCTTTTGCTTAAACAGATTAGTCATATTTTGCAATTACGAACCTTTAACATATAGATGGTAGAGTAAATCTTAGAAATACCTAAATCTTTATTTGTAAGGGCTCCGCTATAGTATTATTATTATACAGTTAACCCTCCGTAAAGGCACCCCTTTGAGACTATATACAAAATGTTTAAAAATGTGTATTTGAAGAGAGTGTGCGCTTATGATCTATATGTTTGGAACAGAAAATTAGTGCGTATTTAGAAAGAGTATACATAGTATGAAGGGTGCATATATGAAGGGTTAACTGTGTACAGATAAAATTCTAATTAGAATATATATTCAAGAATTTTATGTAAAGGGTGCGTGTTATTTCGAGATGTGCATGGGCATTATTTTGAGATTATTTAAGTAATACAATTTTCTAAATAACACTCATGAGCGTTATTATGCAAAAATACAGTAACTATCTTTGAAAAATATATAATATCGTATATATGTTGTACCCAAATGATAATCCTGTCCCGATTGCCAATTGGGACAGCCCAAATTAAAATTGCCCAAATCTAACTTTAACGTCTG